GGCAGCGCCCCGGCCCCCCGGGCTCCCCGCCCCGCCGGCGCTCCCTGCGGGAGGGTCGAGTCGCTGGGCCGGCCGGAGCGGGGACTGGGCGCTGCGCCGCTTCGCCTTGGCCTGCTGACAGGGCCCGTCCCCGCTCCCGAGCTGCCGCCGCGCGAAGGTCGGTCAGGTGGTCCTTTTTTCCTCACCTATATCTGCTGTCTTCTTGGCGTCCTTTTCCCTCTAGAAAGCTCCTTTTATTCAGTTGAACTTGTGTTCGTCCTTGCTGAGTTTCTGTTTGTAAAGTCTCAGTTTGTCGCTTTGACTACAAGAGGCCTCACAGGTTGTGATTGTGAACGTTCACAGCAAGAACTCCACCTGTACCGTAAAGCCTCACGTAAGAAACAGCAGCGAAGTATTTGATGCTGTTCAGCACGTTATTGAAAAGCCATACAGGAATTTATGGTCACAGCATGCAACAGATTAGAAACAAAGCTAATGACTTTTTTCTTTCTGTAGACTGTTTTTGGATGTGAATTATGGCCTTCTCAGCCGTTGCTGTTGGAGATGTACAAAATGTGCTTTCAGCAATGCAGAAGAACTTGGAGTGCCCAATATGGTATGCTAGATGAATCATTTGAACTCTGTATTAGTATAGTTAAAGAGATCTTTGTATTTATCTTCAGGTGGTTTGTCGGTTCTGTGGGTTATCAGAAAGCAAAAATAATTGTTTTAAGGCTAAGTATGTTGATGTTTTGCAAGGCTCAAATGAGAAAGCACAAGACAGAGTCTGTGTTTTCCTCTAATATATATATTTATTTTTTTTCTTTTACAACTTAAATGTGTTAGTTCTCTGTCTTGTCTGTTCTAGTATGGCAAATTAAAATATTAAAACATCCCAAAATAAGAATGACTGCAATTGGGGAATGAATAATGCATGCAAAAGTAACTGAGACTGCTTTTGGCTCTCAGGCTATATTTTGCTATAGGCACAAGTTAAACTGTTCTGCAATAGTAGTGTTGTATTTCTTTTGGCTGTTATTGTCCAAGTTATGTTGTTGAAGCAGTTTTATTGAAATAGTTGTGTTAACTGTTCTACATACTACTACTTGGTTGTAGAGAGACCACAATCATGGGGAGGCTTCCCTGTGAGCATATATATAGTCTGGAGAGCACAGAACCTTTCTTATGTAACTAGGGTTTGTAACCCAGTGTATTCTTCAATTAGAGCAGTATTTTTTTGTTTGTTTTTTAGTGTGTGTTGGAGACAGATTATATTTTAAAGAAAGTTGAACAAGTGAATTCAAGCTTTTCTGAAATGCCTAGTATCAAGTTAAATGTTAATTTTCACATGGTGCTTGACAGAAATGGCTTTAAAATAGAAAACCAGGAAAAAAGAATAACTTAAATGTTTGTGTTAACGCAGCTGTGCATTTGATTTATACAGACACAGTAAGAGTCCAGTGGGCTCCTGAACTAGACAGAACTACACTGTCCTTCACTCCTGTCGTGAGAGGTTGGTGCTGACAAAGGAGTCACTAGTGTTCTAACACTGACTTTCCTGCCCTGCTCAACTGGCATTTCCAGAAAATGTCCATTTGCTAGAGGCAGACCAAGGTTGTGAAGAGGTGGTAGATGTGTATATGTCATATAATGACAGTATTTATTGCTGTACCTGATTCTGAAATGGGTTTTTAGGTTCAGAAAATAATTCTATTTCTGAAACTTATTTTCTTGCTCCTATTTTATATGTAACTTTGGTGTTCTTGTGTTCCTTAATTTTTCTTTTTTGTAGCTTGGATATGGTAGAAGAGCCAGTTTCTACAAAATGTGATCACGTATTCTGCAGGTAGGTTTGAAAACTAGTACTTGCAATGCTTGGTCAATCTGTTCTTATTCTCTATGTAAATTTCTTTGATTTAGTGCTAATGATATATACTGTGTTTTGATTACTTAATATCTAGCTATTTTAGGGGGAAAATCAATTCTGAATAAGCAATAACTGCAGTTTCTCCAGTGTGTCAAAGAAATTGATTAATTCATCCTAACACGAGAACAAGAATACAGAAATTCAAGTTCACAATGAAGGATTTTACTAAGACGTGCATGCCTAGGATCAGCTTTAAAGAAAATAAAATCCTCCCTTTTGTTACCAACATAACTGTTCTTTTTTCCTAGGTTTTGCATGTTCAAACTCTTCAGCAAAAAGAAAAAAGGTGTGATACAGTGTCCTCTGTGTAAAACTGAAGTTACCAAGAGGTAATGGATCTTTGCAAGTGGACTAGAGGATGATAGGTTGAGCTCTAGAGAAAAGTAAATAATTGTCTTTAAAATGTTTTAGAAGACTGAAATAAACAAGAAAAGGTGGTTATTAAGTGAACTCAGTTTCTAAAGGAGTAGTTCCTTAGTGCTCTGCTTCAATGTAATTTTTTTTCAGGTGATCACAGGTGAAGAAGCAGGTGTTTGTGCTATCAAAAATAGACTGTGTTATTGTTCAGTCATAACAACTAGTTTCTCTGTGCTAAACCTGTTAGGAAAATACGAAATTTTCTTTTGGTGATAGTTTTAATTCCTGTATTAATTGGGGGGGGGGGAAATTTTGTTGTTATTCTTTGGCAATAATTTCTCATTGTGTTATCTTTCACTTTGGAGTTTTACTGTTTTGTTTTTTTGTTTGTTTGTTTAGCCTAAATTCTAAGAGAATTAATAATAGTTTTTTGTCCTAGAACTAAGTTGTTGTGGTGATGTTATTTCAGAAGTCTGAAAGAAAATTCCAGATTTAAACAACTAACTGAAGGATTGTTGGAGATTATCTGTGCATTTGAGCTTGACACTGGAGTGAAGTGTAAGTATTGTGAAGGTATACCCTCCACTTTTTTTTTTTTAACACAGTTTTGACATTTTTATCATGATCATTTGCAGGGCATCTCATTTACTGTGCAGTGGGCAGTGCAGGAAGAATTATCTGAAGTTTTTACTGGGCTGTAGAAGCATAAGTTTCTTTTACGTTCCCAAGGTTTTCCTTCAGTATCCTCTTGAATAAGTCTTAATGGTTTTTACTGTGCATTTGGGGACTCCAGACAGTCTTATTTGCAGCTTGTGAAATACAGCTGAATCAAATAATGTTTAATCTATAACTGTGTAGCAAAGCTCCACTCTTTGTTATGCCTAATTTGCAACTTTACTTAGAAAGTTTTAACATCTGAATTAGCAAGTGCTATAATGGTGTATGTTAACTTGTGCCATTCAGGTATTCCATTCTGGAATCTAAGTTTATCCTTTCTAATACTTAGTACCTTGCAAAGGGTTTTGGCAAGTCAGATAAATCCTTGTTTGTATTTTGGGAAACAAGATATTGTTGCTGAGGGTGGGTGGTGGCTTGTGGATTTTGGTTTGTGGTTGTTTGGTATTTTTTACTGTATCATGCTATGAAAACTAGACTCTTTTCAAATTTTTTTCAACTTGTTCAGTCATTCTAAAATCACTAGTATTGGCTCCTGTTCTTGCTAGATTATGCATATAAGGAAAATTAGTTGGCAGGATCAAGATTTTACATAATACTTGAAAAGTACTCATAAGGAACAATCAGACTAATAATTAAATCAGATTTCTTTCTTTGATAATTGTATTTTAGCTGTATATGTACTAGTTGCATAGAGTCTATACAAAGCTATTTTATTTATATATAATGCCTGTTTTCATGCTCAGCGTAAGAAAATACTTTTGCTTCTCTTTCCTGTTAACATTTTTCAGTTTTAAACTGTCATCACTTTCCTAAAGCATCCCCAGGAGCCACTGCTGCTGAATTGCTCAGTAAAGAAAGTTCTGTCATCCAAAGTAAGGGCTTCAGAAAGAGGAAAAAAAGTGCTAAAGAAAGTGGACAAGAAAACTGCGCCTTGGTATTTTTTCCCCCCAGTTTACTTTTGTTGATTGTTTAGTGTTTTACTCGGCATGTGTATACATGCATATACATAAATTAATGGAATGGGACATTTTGGGTTGCTTTCAGTTTGCTGTTTGACTTGAATATTATTCCAGACCAGAACATCTTAATGTTTTTGTCTTCCTAGCCTACTTAAAAAAGTTGTCTGCATAAAGTGACCTGAATTTAAAGGAAATACTGAAAATAGGATTGAAAGCTTTTTTGTGCTGCTTGTTCAATGAGGCTGTCCAACTATCAATAAGCTTTTTACTTTTTTAGTAGTTAGACTATGAATGTGTCTTAAGAATTCTTAAGACATTACCCAACTTGGGGTGATTGCTCTGTGCATGAGTTCATTCATGGTATGTTGCTTCTTGTTTCATCTGCCTAATGCTGAGTAGAATGTTGTAAAACTGCTAGCTATTTGAGCCGTTATATGCATGATAATTGTTTCAATTAGTGCATTCCATTACTGGTATCAGAATGGTAAATTACATGTGTTGGATTTTTGTATAGAGGCTGCCCATTTAAATACTTGGTTCATATGTGTTAGCCCCCACTGTAGTTTAAATGTTTACAACCTATTTTTTTTAAATAGTTATAACTATCTGTTCCTTTCTGTTTTCCTGTCAGCACGAAGCCACTGTGGATA